AACTTCTGGTTGAAGGGAACCTTGGTTTCCGGGGCGGCCACCTCCGGGAGGAGGGGCGTGAAGGGCTTGATGAGATCGAGAAACCGGACTAGAATCGAGTATCAGCATTTGCTGATCCATTGAGGTAAAGGATGGAACGCTGTCGCGGAGATGGCAGCGATCGCGTGCAAGACTCACGTCCGCTCATTGTGACTGTTGCACCTCCCAGAGCTGCAGGATTACTCGAATAAAAGGGGAGGGAAAGAAAGAAAGGAAAGCTGGAGGCGAGAACCAGCTGAAGGAATGGAGGGGAAGTACAAAAGGAGAAGGAGAAGAAGAAAAGACGACGGAAGAGAGAGAGGATGGAGGAGAAAGGGAGGAAGCGATGAGGTCGACGGGGATTGCGGGTGCGATCGAGAGTCGCCTCGCTGGCCACTTTGCGCCCACCCAGCCACGCTAACCCGTTGAGGCCACTTGGTCGCTTTCCTCCGCCCCTACAAGAACAATAATGACCACGATGCAGCACTATAAGCTGGAAACAACCATTTAATTGACTGAATGGGTAGGGTATTCGATAATTCTAACAAAAAAGTATCTCTCTCAAAAAGTACTCTATCTAGGTATCTCAAGGTATCACTGTATAACGGTCATATTTCACCGTTCCCTCCCAATAAAGGCCGTGCTTCCTGGTATCCGTACGCTTCGGTCAACGTAGAGCAAGCATACCAAACTGTCAGGGCCCAACAAGACAGAGACAATCATCAATCACGTTCTCCAACTCTCCGAGTCGCTCCTTCAATCCTTTGTTCTCTTCCTTCAAAATCCCCATGACACTCCATGCTTCCGAAGCAGGAACCCCATGACAAATATTACACTTCGAGCTGTTGGTCCACGAGCTGGCGATGCTCCTCGGTGTCAGCCCTTTTATAACCCGATCATAAGTAGATGGACGCGCAGGCGTCGGTGCTGGGGCTGGTGTTGGAGCTGGTTTGAGCTCTTTCTGGCTCTGCTGTGCAGGAGCAGTTGTACTAGGAGTAGACAAGGCGATCTGCGAGATATTTGGAGATGGCGCGACCGTCGACGCCGGAGACTCAAGCACTTCGCGGCGGGAGAATACACTCTCAGCAAGGCTCTCGTCTCCTGAATCGAAGCCTGAATCGCTGGTAAACGTACCATTGCTGGCGCGTTTGAGGCTTCGCTTAGGGGTCTGAAGTTCAGCCCCCAGATCAGAGGTACTCTCGTCGTCGCTGGAGCGAACCAGCGTGATGCTGCGTAGGCGTGCCTCTTCCTCTCGGCGACGTAATTGCCGCTCATGCTCCAGCTCTTCTGCCATGGCCTTCATAGCTTTCTCTTGTTGGATCACTTTCTCAGCCATGCCATCTAACTGGATCTTGAGGTTCCCGATCCGTGTTCGAGTTACCTCCAGCTCTTCTTGCTTCTCATTCTTGTCGGCCAAAGCTTCATGTAAGGCGAATGTCCTCTGTTTGTATGCAGCCTGCAGCCGCCTAAGTACAGTATCTGCGTTCTGTCTTAGGGCGTCAAAGGCTTCCCGGCCTTCCAGATTACTGAATCCAGTCGGGAATAAAGCGGCGTTGATATCGAGGTTCAAGAACTCGTCCTGGGCAGGTTCGGGCAGCTCCAGTCTGCTATCTCCCTGTCTCTTTAATCCGAAGAACGAGAAGGGACTTGATGATGTAACCTGTTTCAAAGGCGATGGCGCAGTCATCCGCTTCTGAGTTCGGCTTGTCAGGCCCGTCGGGACGTTGGGCGACCCGTAAAATTCGCGACTGGCGCGCTTCTCCATGTCGTCTGTTGCAGCCGAGTCCTGCTCTCCTGACTGATACACTACTCCTAAGTTGACCGGTTCCGACTTTCCTTGAAACCAGCCCGACAAGCGTTTTGCGCCTTCTTCGAGTCTCCTTCTAGCAGTGTTCTCAACTGGTGGGTTCGAGGGAGTAGTGCCAGAGTCCAAGTCTTCGTAGGTTTTGGGTTGATCGGAGAAGAGCTTCCTGGACGGCAGAGGGGCTTGCCGCGGGATAATTTCGGTGTTCGCCCGACGGTGAGAGGGGTGTGAAGGATATTGTTTCGGCGGTAGTGGGGATAACGCATCCGAGCTTGGTGCTAAAGTAGTTACAGGGGTATTCTGGTGGGCAGGTTGATTGTCTGCGTAAGGCTGACAATTCTCCTCGATTTCGGTCGACGCGACCGCTGTCGAGGACAGTTCCGAACTATCGCTACTCGCAGGCGTGGCTGTAGTTGACGGGTGCTCGGGGTCGCGGAGCATTGTTGAGATCGAAGGTGACTGGACGGTAGGTGGGAAGGGATGGGGCTTGGAATGACGAAGGGTCGCGGTTGGTCGCACCACTTGGACACGGACTGGAATGCCACGTCGATTCGTCGTCCAATCCAATGCACGGTCACGTATGCCGCGGTCGCTCGTCTGCGAGGAAGCAAAAGGGGGGGGAGAGAGGGGAGGAGAAAGACGGAAATGAGTAGCTCCCGAAGCTGTCCCTCTAGATCTTCTCTTCTTTGCTGGATTGCGGGGCGATAAACAAGGAATTGATAGAGGATGGACCGTTAAAACGGTATAGGATGGGCCGAAGGTCGACGGTGTATACGTTATGGACAATAGTCTAAGTGGAAATTGGACGCGATTGTAACAGATGTTCTTCAGGTTGATGAACTCGACCGCCAAGCGATAGCGATCAGACGGCGTACCCGCACGTGCCCCTGTCAGCGACGAGTGCTGAGGATCCTGCACGATCTATCTAGGAGTGGATGGAGCGATCTTTGAAATTTCAGAGCCGGACTGTCTTAGTTGGTGTTCAGAATGTTCGATATGTGGTCAACAATCTGACGAGGAGTCGCGATGGATCCTTTAGGTCAAGGAACCACGAAATATCGCGAGGTTGGGTATGTATTCTTAGAAGTCATGCTCCGCCAAACAGCAAAAAGCCGGTGGCTGAACAACCTTCTCTATGCTCCACCATGAGGCCCTGCGCTAGATGAGTGGTGGATGAGCGGGTGGTTACATGGCCTCTGAGTGATATTGTGCTGTCATGATCTTTTATTAGGCACAAAGTCGCCCCATTCCCTCAGCTCCCCTGAACCGGGCAAGCAATGACTCCAGGCGGCGCATGAATACCTTTCCATGATCCGACGACGTCATCTGTAGCACTGGCAGAGGCAATGGTCTCCTTGACGACTGGATAGTGGCATATACCATTGACGCCACATCCTACGCAGTGACCAAAACGGTGATGCCCCTTTTGCGCTGTCATTGCTGGACGGGCCCTGGAGTGCTTAGAGTCTGGACTCTTGGGGTCCCGTTTCATACGGTTTAGTTCGCAGACGATCCTCTCCTCCGTGAGATTAAGCAATCTCGGGGTTAAGCAATCATTTGCGGAGGATAAGGGGGACACAGCAATATCCACCTGTGTTTAATCGTTGTCAGTACTCCATCCTTCGCCCCCGAATGGATGAATGATTCCGAAGACCAGGCCCCAAGGACGTCTGGCACGTACGGCACGTACGGCTCGGAAAATTGTATGTAGTCGGCCGTATACCGTGGAACCTGCGAGCCATAAATGTTCATATGCGCTGCGTGCACTCGAGCTGCAGCGATGCATCGTTTCTGGTTTACGAGGCATGGCTGCCTAAGGCTTGCGGGGTCACATGCTCTATAGAATATCTGGTTCTAGGAGAATACCAGTTGACTATTTCATTGTCCGGGTGAGAACTGTAGTATACTGAATTGGGAGTATGAATTATACACAAAGTATACGCAAAGTATACGCAAAGTACATCACGGTCCTTGAATTTGAAATAACTAAACCGCGTGCTCATCACTTCTATTACTGGGACTAGTAGTACTACCACTACCGTGATTTCCGGAGTATATATAGTTTCCAAATAGTAGGCGCTCGAGTACTATCTAGTATATAGTAGGATACGTGCAGTCCTCCTGATCTACACCCCCTGAATAGCCATCATTATGCGTCACAAAAACTAGCTGCAATATATCACGATATCACAGACGAAATACCTCATAAAGTCCATTGTGGGCTAGTAAAGTTCACAACCCGAGAATACATGTCGATGTTGATCACTCCCACCTACCGGGCGGTGAGCCTCAAATGGCCGCAGCTTTGCAGAAACACAATCAAGATCAAGCTTATGGATCGAAGTAACAGTTCCTCTTTGCATGTACTAGCCAACTGCACATCAAGAAAAAGGGCTTCCGTTTATTTGTATTCATGATTGTGACCCCTCTTTGTTTATAATCCTGTACGAACTCCACAGTATTCCCACACCAGCGACATGGCAAGCTCGGCCGCAAGCGGGTTGAAGTACCTTTCCAATGCGCTAGCAACACCTGAACAGCTATCAAACTCATCATCATCCATTGATGGTGTGCCTGTTGATCTAGAAGCATCAGTTCGATATGCGGGCGCGCAGCTCACACAAACAGCGGGAATTCTGTTGCGATTGTCGCAAGATATTATCGCGCAGGCTATTGTGACATTTACCCGATTCTGGATAGGTTCGGAAGGCGGCAGTCTACGAATATACTCCGTGAAGGTATTCGGAATTGCTATTATCTCTGCGAAGGAAATCGAAAAGGTACTGACAGGCTATGTTCACCTAGGATGTATCCGCCGCAGCACTGTACATGACCGCCAAGTTATCCTTCCAACCTACCTCTCCCCGCTCGGTGCTAAACGTTTACGCTTTTCTCTTGTCGAAAGATGCGTCGCCATTGTGGTTCATAAACTCAAAGGGGTCGCCAGACAAGGCAATGCCAGAGACCTACCACCTTACGGAAGGCGATTATCATGCACAACGACTGGTTCTGCTGCGCATCGAGTCGATCATTCTGCGCACGTTGGGATTCAATACGCATGTAGCTCTTCCTCACACTATCGCCTTGACCTACCTCCAGACCCTTGGCGTCCCATCCTCAGCCGTTGCTCATAGAGTATTCGAGCATCTCAACTCAGCGCTATTGTCGCCACAGTTATTATACGCTACGCACCAACCAAACGCCCTTGCCGTGGCTTCGATCTACCTCGCATCCCGAGAAGTGGGAGTCAAACTCGTCGATGGCGACTGGTGGGAAGTGTTCGATGTCGACCGGGAGGACCTTGGATTCTTAGTGGTGGGCATGAGAAGCATGGAGGGATTTGCGCGGGCGGAAATGGAAAAGTGGAAGGGCCGAGGGGTACCCATGACGGTGGACGAGCTGGAGGGTGAGATAGAACACAGGAGAATGATGGAAGAGGGTGAGTGAGGACTACGCAGCATGCAAGACAATTCTATCATGCGGGCGCAGCTGGCTTGAGGAAGATCCCGGTTACAGGCTATACATGGTCCAGAACAAGCAACTGGAACAAGAGAGGGCCACGCTGGAGCCGATATGATCAGATATCGGAGATAGCAGCCAGCCTTTCCGAGGACCCGTGGGCGTGGAAATCCCCGCCACTCAAGTGACAGGGCCGCTTTGCTTCGGAGGATGCCATAGCCAGTTATTCTTCCAGGCCCTCGAAATGGCAAAATAAGGGACCTACGTAATGATTTGCGGGTAAAACCGAACCTGGCCCTTCTGCAAGTCCGCAATCACCTACCAGAAACACTGAGTAAACCAGATGAATGAAGGAAAGTCCAGTGACCGGCAAGCCACATGGTTAGCAAAGTATGATCACCAGTAAACTCATGGGAAAGTTGTGTTGTTTTTGGTGGGTGATGGAGCCTCAGCCACCTGATGTACCCCGCGTGCATCGTCCAGGCCTCCGATAAGTTCGTCACCGCCACAGCCAAACCCATTCCCTCCATCCCCATCATTCCCTCTCTCTCCTTTAATTCTTCCTATAGATAAGCTTCCTTCCCCTCCCTCCCATTTATATATCATATTTCCCCCTCATCCTATCCCAACTTTAGCAACAGACCTTCCAAGGAATCCAAGAAAGAAACCCCCCCCCCCCTCCAAACCTAGGCAAACACGCAAGCAAACTAAAGCAATGAACATCCTCCACTCCACCCTCTCCACCTGGCGAGACCGTCTCGCCCCCGTCTCCCGCACTTCAACCTTTAGAACAACCGGCCAAATCACCCCCGAAGAGTTTGTCCTAGCAGGCGACTACCTAGTCTACAAGTTCCCCTCCTGGTCCTGGGCCGATGCCGCGACCCCCGCAAAGCGTGTCTCCTACCTCCCGCCCGGAAAGCAGTTCCTGGTAACCCGCGGCGTGCCATGTCACCGCCGCCTAAATGACAACTTCGCTGGGGACGCAGGCCACGAAGACGAGATCGTCCGGGGCATGCTAGCGGGCGAGGGCGACAATGATGACGATGGCTGGTTACGGACCGGAGGCGGCGATAATGCAGCATCGTCCTCATCATCTGCTCGGATCGGAGATGTACGGACGGTCGACGAGGCCGGGAATATGGGCGAGGTAGAGGAACCGGAAGAAGATGAGATTCCGGATATGGAGGATGAGGATGATGATGAAGAGGCAATTATTCGGGAACCGGTGACGGGGACAACGCAGTGAGTCGAACTATCTCACCCCCTCCTCTTCCAGCTCGGACTGTTATTCATACCTCCTCTTTTCCCTCCCCCCCCCCTAACTTGCACTGCCTGGCCTTATCACATCAAAGAAACCGTATCAGTAAAGCTGATGAATCCTTATAAAAACAGACCGACCCGCACCTACAACCTCTATATAACCTACGCCAACTTCTACCGCACCCCACGCCTCTACCTCTCCGGCTACCTTTCAGCCTCTGAACCCCTCCCGCCGCAACTGATGATGGAAGACATAGTCGGCGACTACAAAGACAAAACCGTCACTCTCGAAGACTTCCCCTGGTTCGAAGGCAGTGTGAAGATGGCGACCGTGCATCCATGCCGGCACGCCTCCGTGATGAAAACCCTCCTGGATCGCGCCGACGCGGCGCTCAAGATCCGTCGCGATAAGCTCAAGGCCGCGGCCACGGCGCACGCCGAGCCTGATGCGAAGGTCGCTGCTGGAGCGGGCGGCTTGGAAGGGTTAGTGGACGATGTTAAGGGACTGTCGATGGGTGAGGGACATAGCCAGGGGCAAGGAGGAGGTGGTGATGAGTGGGAGATGCTGCAGCACGATGAGGAAGAGCAGGTTGCGATTCGGGTGGATCAGTATCTGGTTGTGTTTTTGAAATTTATTGCTAGTGTTACGCCGGGGATTGAGCATGACTTTACGATGGGGGTCTAGATGACTGACTAACTGAATAAGAGGGGACCCCGTCTTCCCTCTCTCTTTTTCTGTTGGGGTGCTTTTCATCTTTTGTTTTTGTTCTGTTGTTGTTGGTTTCGGGGTTTCACTGATATTGGGATCGTGAGCTTGGTTTTATACCTTTTTTTTCCTCTTATGGCCTTCGTTGTCTTTTATTCTGTTGTGTTGGTGGTTATGCCATTTCCCACCCTCCATCTCTCAAGGTCCCCATGAACCGGCGTGAGGAACAATGTTGATGTTATTATGAGACATGAATATGATATCACGAGACGTTAATGCAGATATTATTTATTCTATTTTATCCTTTTGTACGGAGATCCATGATAATAGAACCAAATGTAAATAATAATACTAATACACCCAAAGAACATTACAAATATTATATGCTAACCACCCAGTGATTCAGAAGAGAAAAGAAGATGAAAGGAAGAAAGGAAAGGAAAAAAGATCCAACCAGAATCAACAAGCAATAGAAACAGTACTTCCAGTCAAACTAGACCCACTCTGGAAAAGAAAATGTATATCGAAGGGAAAAATAATGGGAGGGGGAAAGGGGTAATGGTGACAAAAGGAAACCTATGGACGACGGGGAAGGGAGGGTGAACGGTCAATGAGAGTTATGGATAGACGTAGAGGCAGTGATGGGAACGCATGTCATGCTCATGCAGGGCATTGGCAGGTGTATGCAGGCAATGCTGGAGCAGCTGGAGAAGGAGTGGGTGCGATCCTGGGCTCGGATGCAGACTCGTGGTCAGGTTGGGGCTGGGGCTGGGGCTGGGGCTGGGGCTGGGGCTCCGGTTGAGGGCTCGGTGTAGAGTTGGGCTGAGGTACAGGGGTAGGCTCGGGGGCAGGAGATGACTCCGGTTCAGGGGAAGGTCCATGATCAGAAGAAGGCTCAGGAGATTGCTCGGGCTCAGGCTGGGGCTCAGGCTGTGGCTCAGGCTCCGGTGCTGGGCATTCTTGCACGACTGGCTCTTCAGGTTCCTCGGTCTCAGCAGGAGGAGCCGGCTCGGAGGGGGTAGACGGAGCAGGGGGAGCAGTGGTAAGGGGAGCAGTGGTAAGGGGAGCGGTGGTAGGGGGAGCAGTGGTAGGGGGAGCAGCTGGTGGAGTGGTGGTTGGAGGAGCAGGAGGAGGAGGAGTACTTGTAGGGGGAGCAGGAGGGGGTTGGGTAGAGTCAGTTATAGTTGTAGATGTAGCGGGAGGGGCAGGAGGAGCAGGAACAGAAGTCTCGATCGGAGGGTTGACTGGCGGAGGGTTGACTGGCGGAGGGTTGACTGGCGGAGGGTTGGCTGGGGGAGGGTTGACTGGCGGAGGGTTGACTGGCGGAGGGTTGACTGGCGGAGGGTTGACTGGCGGAGGGTTGACTGGCGGAGGGTTGACTGGCGGAGGGTTAACTGGCGGAGGTGGAGGGGTCGTCGTGGACTCTGGGATAGTCGTAGTGGAAGTAGTTGAAGGGTTTGGTCGTGACTCTTCAGTCTCCTCATAGTTGTTACTGAAGTAGTTGCCCATGTTGATGCTGGGACCACCCGGGATGCCGATATTCATCCCATTACCTGCGTTGGTGTTGCTGGACTCGCTTGAGCCCTCATCATCATTGTCGCCCCCACGGTCTTCACGAAATCTGTTGGAGGCATACTGGCCAGAGTTGAAGGATGGACCATCAGGGATCGAGAAGCCCATGTTAGAGCCGGACTGAGTGTTGGTATTGAGATGGTGGCTCTGTCTTCGCACAATGGCTCCATCCTGCAGTATGTGTCAGCTTCGTTGATGCTTTTATTTGAGATTGAGATTGAATTTTAACATACTCCCGCAGCGACAGGTGCAGACAGAACGGGAGCCACAGCCAGCACGAGGCATAGCAGTGCCGGAAAGCCCACGAGGTTGTACATTGTAGAAGGGAAAGAATGTGACGTAATTATCATAAGAAGGAAACTATCCGAGTTGAAGGAGCGAATAACCGATTTAGAGATTGGCAGGAGTGGAATGAGCTGGGAAAGAATGAACAGCTGTGATCTGCAGCGAATGAGTGCTCTGATGAAAAGAATGTCGGCACGGAATTGTGGCCTTCTTATACCAGAAGACAGACACTCAAGTCATCGCGGTATACAAGGGCTCTGAGACCCTTTCTAGGACACTATCCCTCAGCATAGGGCCAGCCACAGGGCCATGCAAGGCCCACGAGACAACGACTCCGATAGTCACGGTGACCTCATGGCGAGGAGGACCTAGCCACTCTCCAGGAGACGGCCCTTCCGAAGGGCAACCTCCCTGGAGCAGTTTTTCAAGTAGCAGCCTCAAGGTTGAAAGGAAAATGGGATGATAAGATAGGGAGGGATGAGGGCTCGACCAGGTCGGGGGCGGACGCAAGGAGAGCAGAGCCATTGTTCGGCCAGATGTACCAAATACTGCAAAGAACCAAAATAAAAGAACACCCCTGTTCTCGGAAAGTCTCTCGTAGCTTTAATCTTTACACGTAATGGCCGATGCATATGCAAAAAGATAAGTTCCGTCATGTTCGTCAAGTCATGGTTTCCGTCCAAAAAAAGTAATGGCCCATCCCCGTTGAGATGGAGTCCATAGTAATCATAGTCCAAATACGGCTATGAGGTTAACATCCACAACAAACAATCTGCGACCGCAAGGTAACGCTTCGCCTCAACCCTAACTACACCTTCCCACAGTCCGAATTCCCAAAAGCCGTGCCAAAGTTCGTCGTATTCTTGAACCTTAATTCTGGCTCTTCACCCTGACTCGGGGGCTCGACTTCAGCCTGTTTCTGATCAGTGCTTCGGGGATAGCCAAGGGCCTGCTTGACCTGGTCCAGAAGCTTTTGATCAAGCTCCTTCAGAAACTCACTATCGTGCTCTTCCTCATTCAGCAAGGTGAGTGGCCCCTTCAGGGCAGGGTCATCCGCCAAATCCCCAAAGTACGAGTCGGAATTTTCTGCAGGTTGCCGAGGCGCTTCCGAAGCGAGGGGCTCCTCCTCGTTTGCGGCCTCCTGGGGTGACGGCTGCTCCGTGTCGATGTCTCGATCGATCCTAGCCATGGGTGTGTGACCGGCGTTCCTGGTCAGGTTGAACTCTGGTGGGCCAAGTTCAGACAGTTTCAATTTGAGGCTGTTGCGGTGCTCAGCAGAAGGTCTGGAGGAAAGTGATGGAGAGCCCTCGAGCGATGGTGGCGACGGTGGTGTGATTACACGAGCGACAATCTCTGGCGGCAATGCTGAGGACTTGAGCGTGATCCCGTCAAGTTTACTATCAAGCCTCTCAATTGGGACAGGAACGCATGCGCTCGAGGTCAAGTCAGTCGCATGTGACTTCGGCGAAAGCGCAGCATCCAAGGATGGCACAGAGACCGAAGGATTGCCTCCTTGCTCCGGAAATAGGAGACCTGAGAGGTCTGTCTTCTCCGCGTTGGGAAATACCCTTGTGGGTTTGCTTCCAGGGCTTGAGCCTTCCCACACTTGGGTACTTGTCGAGTGAGAAGAATCAGTGTGTTCTGCCGAAAATGGGTGGCTGAATTGGTTGCGAAATGCAGATGACGATGCATAAGATTGAAAAGTGCCGGTCGGGAGCGCGGCCGTACTAGTAGCGGCGGTCCCTGTGGATCCCCTACCCTTCAGCAGCGACTCTAGTTCAGAGATCCTCTGGTTCAATAGCGCACGCTCATTCTCCCATAGATGTCGTTCCTCGTTGAATAACTTCCTCTCATGCTCAAAATTCGCACGCTGGCGATCGAGGAGCGACCGTACTTGTCTCAAGTAATCGGCACTTACAACCGAATAACTGGCTGCTTCTGTATCTGGGCCGCCAGAATAGTTTGGTCTCGATTCGAGATGGGTGTCTGGTACTGACTGTGTTCGACGGACAGGAGTTGGAGTAGGCGAGAAGCGAACCTCCTTGTAGAGGCTCCCATGGCCATTGGGGGACTTTGTAGCGGTTGCTGGCTTCATTTTGAAACTATTGGAGTTGCTGAGACACTCCCGGGGGCAGTCTGGGTAGGTTCTATCCCCTTCATAAAGGGACGAGAAAACGAGAGAGAGAGAGAGGGAGGGAGGGAGAGGGGTAAGGGGAAGGCAAATGGAGCGAACAATTGGCGAAATAATCGAAACGTGAATACTTTAGTTCGGTACTAGCTAAAACATCAGCCGAGCTACAGCAGCATCACTGTGATAATCGCGCGTGGAGCGACTGAATCTCTTAACAGCAGTTACTGAAGTAGAGGGACAAATAAGAACCGGGGAACCACACCGACCGGGTAACTTACCAGTGGCAAATGAGATGGGGAACTGTGGGGGAGCGAGCTGTCCGGAGTGGGCAATCGAGCGTTGATAAGCCACCGGTGCCTGAAGCAGAGTTTCAAACCGCAGGGCGAGGAGCTTCGTGCTTCGTGGACCAAAGATGTTGATGCTGGCAGCCAGCGACCACAAAAGGATGGACAAGTGGACGATGTGCTTGACTGCAGACTGCAGCGCGAAGGGCACACAGCATTTATCAGGCGGCGGGAGCCTATGAGTAACAGCCTGCAGGAAGAGATTATTATGCCAATCTTCTCTCAAACGGACTGAGGATGGATGACAGGATAGAGAAAGATCCACCCGAATGCGGGGAGAAATTACTACCAACACTTACTACTCGATAATATACCAGAGAAATCGAAATGCCCAGTGGTTCGATATCAAACGTGGGGGATTTAACGGCAGGCTGATATAGACTAGACAGGGAAGGAAACCAGACTGGGAAAAGAAAAATAAATAAAAAAAGGAACAGGAGGGGATAGAAGAAAGGGGGAAACAAGAGGGAAAAAGAGGAAGAAGAACGGCTGTCAAGAAGAAGCGTGGGATTCAAATGTGATTTGGTTGCTTCTTCAACCACCAAAAGGAACTTGAGGCCGACGATCACGAGGCAGACATGACGTTATTGCTTGGATGCTCGCGAAAACGAAAAGGAACAGAACAGTCATTCCGCCTGTCCCTTTGGGTTTCACCTCCATATTTGGCTCATTTTGTCTTCTTCTTTTAGATACCAGTTCCTCCAACCTCCACAGGTCTTCCCCTCCTTCTAAGGCTATGATTTCATGGTCCAGGCGGGTCAATGAATCCCCATCATCTGGTACGTCCAGCAGACGGACCGATCTGAAGCTAACCCACTACACTAACCGAGCGGGCGGCAACGGTTGCTGCTGCCCGCTGCAAGTCGCCCATGCATCTACCAACTATGATCATGCTACATTTCTAGCTCGCAGGAAAAGAAAATGACCAGGAATGACGCTGATTCAGATAGCTCTAACCACTGCAGCAACATGACGCTGTAAGAAAAGAAAATAACAGAACGGAAAAAGACCCTTTCCAAGAATGCACAACCTATGACTTCCCGCCCGTTTGCGACCAAACACCATTCTCCGTGCTCATGCCCATCCCCACCTCCCAACCCTCCAACGTGACATTCCGAGATATTTGGCAATCAAAGAGTGGAGTACCTCGAGACTAGCAGAGTCTACTGCGCTGTGTGTGTGTACATATTAGACTCTCTTCGCACCGATCTTCCTAAACGTCATCCTGCAGATATTAGTCCCAGTGGGTATCTGATCGGAAGGAGGAGAAACCCCCCGTCGGAAAAAAGTAAATGGCTGGATAGGTGAGACAATATATTACTAATGTAGACGAATAGAAAGAAGAGGAGATAGTCATGATGAGAAGAAAAACATAACACCCGGTTCCTATGCGATAGCGAGCTTCGTCTGTGACGCCCGCGTCTCAGCCTGAAGCGATTTCTTTGCATCGTCCATAACATGTCGATGCATCGACGGTAGTGGAAAGAAATGGAGATCTTTGTGCAAAGCTCCAAAAATCGTCGCCAGATACCAAATTCCCCGAGCCGACGATTCCAAATTCCCTACCGCAGCAGAAGGGAAGTAGAAGCGAGGATCCAAGTAAAACATGGTACTTGTCCAATTTGGCAGCTTCTCCATCAGCATGCGGGCGGCTGCTTTATACTCCTTCAAGGTCCGCTTCGGCACGCCGGTTTGCGAGTGGACGAAGAAGAAGATCTCGAACCCGACGCTGCGAATGCGCTTGCGCGCCGTGGCACTGATGGTGTCCAAGAAGGTGCCCAGACGGTCAAGATTGAACGAGTTCAGGAAGAAGAGAGTGTTCTGCGAATACACAAAGTCCTCAACCTCGTCGTGAATTTGCCGGTTCACGGAGAGTAGGTTGCGAACTCGACCGTTCTCACCTACCCAGCTGGGACACATTGAGAGAGCTCGGTATCGGCCGCGTGCCGTGAAGACGTTCCCGCGGTCGTTAATCACGATCATCGGACGATCCGTGAATTCGTTGGGAACGACCAGCGCATATTCGTAGATCATGAGACGAAGCTCCAAAGGTAATTTGAGGAATGGCGATGGTTTGGTTGTATTCGTCTGGGGAGCATCCCCCCAATGCTCCTGTGGTCGTGGAATTCCCATTGTGAAGAGACAAGAAGTATGTACTAGCTCACGCTAGCTAGTGGGTTCGTTCGGAGTCCGTCGACAAAGCCAAACAGAGATCCACTCAGATCAAATCACTCATAGTAGTAGTAGCACATATAATAGATCAGATGTGCAAGACTGTGGTTCAATAGCGTGTCTGCCAACGACGCAAGAGGAGTACTATATAAAGCCACTCCACGACGTCAGCTCTGACACCCGGAAAAAAAAAAAGAACCACCAGTACGTAGTAGCAGTAGTAATAGACGCCAGACAAGATTCTGCGTGTCACCACAGCACCACTAGCCTAGTTAGAAGACTACCACCACAGGCTGGCAAGTGACAACAACCGAACAACTGATGATCAGGTTATCTCTGCCAAGGACGGATATGCTCTGGATGTCTCACCATACCATGAGGTATGTAGTAAGGTAATAGGTAGTAGTAGTTCGAATTCCGGAATCCTTCGAAGCAAGCCAACAAGCTAGCAGCAAATGCCACTCAGCAAGCAAGCAAGCACGTAAATAAGTAATAGCTAACCAAGGAGGTATTCCTCCGAGAACCGGTAGAGTCAACGGCTAAACCAGAGGCCACGAGTCTAGTTGGGTTAATGAGCTAGCTCAATAACCTGCAGAATAGATTGACCGGGCTATAGATAACCGAGGGTATATGTGAGTCGAGTGATCTGAACCAGCCAGCGCAGATGGGGGCGTGTGATTGAAGAGGGGGTGTTCAGTCAAGTTTGGGGGTCAGAAAAATATCAGACCACCTCTTCAATGATTGATCCCTTTTTCATCAGCCATCCAGTTCTTTAAATAAATTCAATTGCCTCATTTCGGCATGAACGGTTTACAATGCGGAAGAAAAAAAAAAAGTTTTTTTCTTTTTTTCTTTTTCTTTTTCTTTTTCTTTTTCATTTTTTTTTTCTTAAATAATGAAACAAACACGTTACTTCGGACCGAGAGCCAAGCCCGATAGAAATTGACTTTTTCTTTCTTTCTTCGTTCGATTCAAACTTTATCCTTTCGTTCTTATTTCCTCTTCTATGCTTTCGGGTAGGGCCGTTCGGGGTGGTTCCGTTGCTACTACTAACTACTACTAGTTATGCCGTTGCTCTTACAAACAATGATTGTGTGTATGCGAGTTGCATATACTGCTTTTCTTGTCGTGTAGTCGGTGATATCATCAGAGAAATACATAGTAGAAGAATACTTTGGAAGCTTGAGAACAGTAATAAATTCTGGCATGATTCGGGGATCTGTTGCTTGTTCTGCCGCTGATGCAATGACGGGAATGAGGTGGTTTAGGCTTCTTCCGGGCCGGTTTTGGGATTCGCCACCGCTAGAATGACATAAAATTCACATACAAATTTCAGGACTGAGGTGAACGCGCGAGAGTCTGGTGTTCTGGGTGCAGGTACTTAGCAAGTATTGTTCAGTATGTTTGTGGGTTTCTTGTAGTTATATCTACTAGAGGTAGGACATGCAGTTACTGAGTATTAACCGGTCTGTGATCAGGAATATACTTTTTATTGAAATATATTACGGATACTACTAGGTCTAGTAGATGCTATTTCAGCCCGAAATAGATGAATGTATTATGTGATGATGATGACGATGATGCTGTTGTAATAATCTGCTTTTCTCTTCTCTATGGCTTACCCATAAAGAGCAGGATGTATATATCAAGTACGCCGATAAACACCAAGTAACCATGCAGCTCGTAGGACAGCCAGTCCCCAAGCCATGCCGATGCTATCGCGGAGTACATTCAGCTTGCTGCCCTTGACCTCTCTCCATCCAACGGGCACCTCGGCCACGGGGATGTCGGCAAATTCGGCGAGCATAAGCATCTCCACGTCGAAGATCCACCCCTCGGAGTGCATGTACGGTATAATGTATGGCAGCGACGCCCGGGAAAACAGTTTAAATCCACATTGCGTATCCTTGATAGTGGCTGTCTTGGACGGTGTCAACAACCACAGAATCAAATGAAAAGAATGCATGAGGAAGTTGCGTAGTTTCGAGCGCTGTATTTCCAATGGGATTATCGGTTAGTAATGCCGGGCAAGGACAAAGTATAGGCCAGCTGGGTAGGAGAGCATACCTTGACTACAGCTTCACTTCCAACCATATGCGCCCGAGATCCAACGGCCACTCCGCGTCCTTTCACGTCTTCGGTCTCCTGGCAGGCCGCGACAAGCTTTCCTAGATCCTCGAATTTGCTGGCCCCGTCGGCATCCGCAAATACAACGTACTGGCCGCGAACATGCCGCATGCCGTGGGTGACGGCTCCACCTTTGCCCCTATTCTCTGTCAGGCACACCACCCGAATAGTGCCCGGGGGAATGCGGACACCCTCATGTGTCCCCGGAGTCCAAGGGCCGGCGTAGCCCTTGGGGTGCATTGAGAGTTGATGATCTCGGGCGAACGTGAACGCTATTTCTTCTGTTTTATCCTTGGAGCCATCAGAGACAATGATGATTTCCCAGCCCTTGTTGTCATGTACCGGACGATGAGCCGCAGAGCCATTTGTGTGTCCATTAGCCTGTTTCCTTTGACGCATTGCTTTTTCCGCCGTAGGGGACTCAGCACCATTGGCCGAGTTGGTTACCGTGCCATAGACCTTTTCCAGGTAATCTACTGCCTCTTCCAGCATGCCTCCCAGGCGATCTTCCTCATTGTATGCGGGTACTACCAACGACATGAACAAGTCGGCTTCCTCCATCGAGGTGTGGTCGAGAACCCGACCGGGGCGTCTCTGAGCATCTAGGGCATCTTGCCAGCAAGGTAACTCGAGCGGCTCCGTGATCGATCCATCCTTCAGGAGTGTACGATATTTCTTCTCTTCAGGGAACGGTTTCCGCGGGACCGGGGCGACGGTGTAGAGAGTGATGTAGAACTATGCAGGAGAAGGATCGCTAGTTAGCGTTGCTGTTCCAATCGCGAGGCCAACTAAGGGCATCCCCCGTCAACGGGGAGCCCGGGGCGCAACGGTAAAGCCGAGGATCAATGGAATCCAAACATACCAGGACAGACAGTCCAGCGAGAGTTGCTACCAGGGTAATGAGGAGGACCGAGAGCGGAACGTTCGCCAGGAGCTCGGCGCAATGAACGCAGGTGCCGAGGAAGGCACCTTCAGCCATGATGTTGAAAGACAAAGGGGGGGAGGAGGGGATAGGGACGTCGGGCGAAGGGACAGATGGCCTCGAGCGGATGAAGATAATCGCGGACAGGAAGCGGATGGAGAGGGGGAAGTGAGCTCAAATGCTCAACGGGACAGAGACGATCCGATCTTGGCCAGCCATGCGACACGGAAGCTGTCTTGAAGGATTGATCACCTAACTAACATGGAGAGAGAGAGCAGCGATCCGGAGCAGAAAGACGATGAACAATAATGGCCATCGTCCGGGACCTGGGGGGGGGAGGAGAGGAACTAAAGGCAATAATAAAGTAGGAGGAGGAGGAGCTCCGAAGGGGAAACGTGGTGAGATAAAGATAGGTTAGTAGAGCGGGCTTTAGCCTTTAGCATCCAGCATGAGACGCGTTGCAGGCGCCAACTTGTCCTTTCAGCGGGTTTCATTCGTTCTGCAGGCTCCGCTCGGCTTCGGCTCCCCCACTCCCTGCTCGGTTCATCGCTCCGCTCTCTACGTATGCTTAGTCTGCTTAGTCTAGTAGTCCACGCATCTATCTATCTGGTATCTACATGGAAGATCTCTCCATCATCTTTTCTCTTGACAGCTTGTTCGTTTAATTACATACCAGTGACTTCGTCTTCTTCTATTTCATGCCCACTCCCCATGATGGGTGTAGTAGTATATCTAAATGCTCATCACACACGTCGGTCTTCCTCTCTCCCTCCCTATACCAGTAGGGATGATCTTACACTATTTAATAATTCCTGTCTGAGGCTCAAGACAGGTTGGAGTGAGTAGCTGCTGGATAACATCTTGATCAGGGTGGAGGGCTTACATTATCCTCCTAGACGGTCTTTCCATGTTGCATGGCAATCTCATCTGTGATCGACCTCAGAGCGGACGCAGACAAAGCTAGCTGCTAGGCTTGTGTCTTAGCGGGACTCGCATCAATATTTATTCCACCACAAGCATATGGCTCTCCTTTTTTCTTTTCTTTTTTTTTAGAGCGCCCAGATACCGGGCCTTGATGTTATTGCGACGAGGACCCTTGGTGGTTACACAATCGATCAGGGCCACCCAGATAGCGCGTCTCTCTCACTTCTCAATACTTCACAAACGTGCAGATTGCTTGGCTCACAATTGGGCCAGCTAGGTCGTCCCTCATGTTTCACGCGCATCGTTGCCTACACTATTTTGGCTGACCTCACGCGGCTTAGCAAAGGGGTTATGTTCTTCGGCAATTGTCTCAAGCTCCAGGGCGAATGGGGTAGCAGAGAACTTCCGCTCGTTGCAGTCATATGTGATCCAACGTCCAAACTGCTCGCTATTAGCATGACTCATTTTATGCGATCATACTATCCTCCTATTCGTAGGACTCTTACCTTGGCAAGTCTGATTCCCAGCCATATGCACCTGTACATCCTTGTGATGTCCCGAGACGGCGGCTCAATGTTCCTGCCTTCACCGGCAGTAGGTGCGTTGTCGAAGAAAGAAGCAGGATAGAGACGCTGGCTCCAGGTTTGACCACGGATAAGGAAGTCTTCCGCTACCCAGGTGGTCTCCTCCGAGACGGGAAAGTCTTCCCTTTCGGCGATCTCGGGCCTGATGTAGCTGCGAAACAGCGTATTGAGGAAATACGCAAGTTTCCTCCACGGTACCGCAACTTCTAGGCGGGTCATACCTCGCGGGGTAAGTGACAAGCACCAAAGGAATGCTAGAGAAACATGGCATGCTGCGTATATGTTCCTATCAGGGACCTGATTGACTTGTTCGAGCATCACGGACAAAGTGTGGTAAGCGAGGTAGGATCCGTAAAAGAGCAGAGGCGACGAATTTGGAGAGTCCCGAGATGCTAAAAATTCTGCCTGCACGGCCTCGAGGTCATTGACAGGAACCCAGGCGTTGACAGCGGAGTCGTAGACCTCGTCTAGTGACTCTACTTGCGACGGGTCCGCCTCCTGGAACTCGAGGCCCAGGTAAGCGTCGGGGCTGCCATATTCTAGCATGGCGGTAATATTACAAGCGCAGATGAAGAACCCTTGTAGCCTGAAGGCAGCACCCAGTTGGCTTATTGTCTGGTTCAGAAGTGATGCAAATGTGTCGACCGACTTGATAAAGCGATCTCCGACATCTCTAGTGTACAGGTGGCCATGTGCCGCCACAAAAGCGCTTACTAGTGGCAGGCGATGAAGTGCTCGAGGCCCTCTCAGAAAAGGATTGAATAGGAGGAAGATACTCTCCCGAGTGCCCGCGAACGGCTGAACACTGACCAGAGATCTCGTGTAGTAGAACAGTTGCTGGATGATATCCGGTCGGGCCAAGACCGCCAGATGATGTTGGATCCTGCCCACATTGGGATTCCGGTCTGCAGCCTGGTTGTACCAGTATCGTGCCACACCCGCCCAGGCTTCACGTTCGCGAAGGTCGGATTCCTCCACGGCCATCCGGTAACGCGAGAGATCTCCCAGACACTCGATCCAGGTATCCTGGAAAGCGGGCACCGATTCGAGCATCAGTGTGATCATGGAATAGGCGTAGTAGATGAAGGCTAGCATGTGCTCCAAGGATTCTGGGAGCCGATGGCGCAGCAATTCCAGCAACGAATGGATTCCGTGGCGCCATAGTCGCGCGGGCATGGCATACTTCTCCGCTAGGCGTTTCAGTGCGGGGCTCGCGACAGGATGTTGGGAGCAGAGGAAGAAATCGTGATACTCTTGCAGCATAGTTCCGTGGATTCCAACCAAGCTTTGATATTGCACCTGCGTCATCGTGGGCCATCCTTGGACCCGCTTGTGCCACACCTCGCATCTATTTTCCGCCATCACCAGCCCGGCATAGATTCCTCGAACATCCTGAATCAGTTTTTCTTCTGTGCAATAATCAGTTTCTACTAGCTGAAGTATAAGCCCATTTGATGCTGATGTACCTCCGGATGTCCCAGTGACCGCGCCGACGGGACTTTGAGCATTGCTCAATTGTCTCGCGGACTCTTGGCCATAGCTCAGACCCTCCGCAGACTCCCGTGACACTTCGGAGAGGGAGGCCATCTCGTCTGGATTGTCGCCTGGGTTCCTTGGCGGACGACCGTCATTCATGACGGGACTGGAGCGAAATGCTTGCGAATGAAGCGGGGACGAGCCACCATTACTTCCGCCTAAGTCGTCCGCCATGGGGGCGGCATTTCTAGGAAGGCGGGCATCGCTGTCAGCCGGGCTAGCCTGCCCCATTCGACTTTCAGCTACTGCGCAGCTCGATGGGCGGACTAACTCGGTGTCAGACCGCTTCCATTGCTCCTGCCATGCTTGGCGACACCCGTTCGGGACGCTGGAGGAAGCAAGGTCGGCCGCTTGCTCACTCACGCCATCTGACGCAAAGTCGTCCGGGATGGCGCCCCCTGAGTCGCCTCTCTTATGCGAAAATGAGGCACTGGCAGAGTGAAACGCTCGATTGGTGGTAGAAGATCCGGCAGGGGAGCCAGCATCCGACACCAACGGTGCTAGTGGCTTCCTATGTAGACTGTTAGAAGCATCGCAGATGGTAGTCACTTGGTGATGATGATGATGATGATCTGACAGACAAGGAGAAGATACCAAAAAAAAAAGAGACAAAAAAGAAAAAAAGGTCGAAAATATATATTAACGCGACACATGGACAGTATTCTAAAAGTGATTCAAGGACCAGGTGTGTGGGAGGACACTACTCACTTGGGGTGGGAAGAAGGATTCGGGTGGATTTCCGGGTTGGCGGGTTCTAGTAGGGCTGTTGCAGAAGAAGCTCGATCATGATATGGAACCAGTAGGGAGTCCTGGCCAGCATTTCCGTCACTCATCGTATTGGCTACCGTAGGGTTATGTAACACGTCATCTGATCCGTATCAGCGAGCTGTCCAACACCAGGTATTGATAAGACGATCAATCCAAGGATGGTGGAGCTAATGCGACAGGTGAAGGGTGGTGTGGTGGCGGTGGTAGTGGCGGTGATAATAGAATAGTAGTAGTCCTGGGGAAGAAGGACTGTAGAGAAGAAAGGGGAAGAAGGAAATTGAACAAGAGAGGACCAGGTGAATGTGCGCAAGTAGGGAGGAGACTAATATATAGTAATCGCGGCGCAAGTGAAGTGAAGCTGGCGATGACGGAGGAAGCCGAAAGGAAATCGGAACGAGAGACAGGCAGTGGGTTGAGAGTAACAGATCAGATCAGATCTATGATGACATCAAGACCTATGTGACAAGCAAAAGAGGGGAACCTTGAACAGCACAGCACAGCGAAACACCGGGAAATAGTAGATCGAGAGAGTAAGGGAAGAAGAGGAGGTGGAGGAGGAGTAGTGGTAGTGATGGTGGTAGTAGTGGTAGTAGTAGAGGTAGTAGTAGAGGGCTTTTAAGTTGAAGAATAGTAGACATGGGCAGGAGAAGGAGGTAAATAACGACAGTAATAACAAGAATAATAAAAAATAATCATGGAACTGACGATAATAAATCGAATAATAACAGTAATACTGACCTGGACACGTTGGAGGGACACGGCGGGATTATTTAAGAGGCAGATGACATTTAGGTTCTTTAGGCAACTAACCTCATCTCTGCCTAGGAATCAGAGTGAGCAAACCGGTTAGGAAAATTGCGCACGAACACCGAAAACAACGATTGATAGTCCAACCCACCTCGGCGTGATAGTAGGAAGGCTAATTTTCCCTTGAAGAATGGATAGATCGAGAAGGTCAAATCGCGGAGACAAAAAGCGACTAAGAAGAAGGCGGAGAAGAAGAGCGAATACCCAGCAGCAACCAACGCAGCCAGCCAGTTTCCAGCAGCAGCAGCAGCAGTACATACCGTAGGGGGAAAAGGGAACAGGTAGTAAAGTTGTCTACTACTAGTTAGTAGTAGTCGTCTTCTTCACCTTCTTCTTTCCTTTCTTTTCTTTCCTTTCTACCTTTTTTTGTCTTTTTCAAATTCCCCTCCTTTTCTTTCTTAATTTGATTTCTCAACACATTTGATTTCTCAATTCCTTTTGGTTGTTCTACTAACGAAAACTTAGATTTCACATCCATTACTTACCTACTGATTACTACTGACTTGACTTTTTGACTCTTACCGGTGATACTTGGATGATGGTATCGATACCTGGGAGAGAGGGGCTGGCTGGCTGGAACTGGCTTGACTGGCTCTTAATAATCATCAGAAAACGGTTTCACCGCGGTAATCTTCCGGTATTGGGGTCAAAGGGTTGACTTGGCGGCCACGGCTGCCTGTAATTACCAAAAGACACCAAATCGAAATGACCAAGACTCGGGTAAGGATACGTACGGGGCTGGTAAGCCGCAGTTTTCGGTAGCCTGACGATTTGCGGGCAGTTGCCTCGTCGGCTTTGTCCCACTCGCTGTTCTCCTTCGAGTCCCTCTCAAGGGATCAACCTGGTAATGCTCTGGGATGATCACCTGGTGAACCTTGAAGATCGGTCCCAATCAGTCTTTTACCTATATCACTCTCTTTTCACATTTCTCTCTTTCCCTCTCTCTCTTTCCCTCAACTCCGAATAGAACCGCATCGTGGCGAGGTTTCTTTCCTCGCCCCCGGCCTTGTGTGGCGCCGCTTTGCTATCACTATCTACGGCTATACTAAGTACCAGACTACTCCGTACTACTTACTATTGCTGCTGCTTCATATCTATCGGTTTGGAGACACTTCGGCAAGCTTTACTCTGAATGGTTCAAAAGTCAATGGTCACTCGACGGTTTGCTAGCAATAGCCGATCGACTTCCCCTCCCCTCGAAGCGCCACATCGTCCCGGAAGGGTAACTTGGATATCATAGTAGATACTCTCTTCTTGGTTACCCACCAAAGCTGCCCACGCTTCGGATCTCCCTTCTTATGCCTTCTTTCCTTGTTCCTTCCCACATTCTTCTTTCCCACCCACCCCCTGTGTCCCCTAAACACCCACGAGGGTCGTGGCAAACCTATCTGTCACACCCCCCCTGTTTCAATAGTCTCTAATTACTATCTATCTTTGACGGTCTTCCGCAAGAACTGAGAGTCGGCAGACAAACCTACTTTAGCAGCTGAATTGCCGATGTTGATGCTAGGACCCGACGATTTGGGGAGGACCACATTTACCGGAGCTCCTTGCATGCAGCAGCCTGTGGGCATACTTGACTCGACCCTCATCGCCACTAAAACTAACAAACTTAATTCCAGGAATGAGGATGCTATTGCCCTTGCTTTATAAGGTGTGTTCCCCTCCCTTGACGAATCCACAGTTTCTCGAATTCGCGCCCACGCGGTGCTACTCGATCTTCACCGAGACAACGGATGCTACTACTGCTGGTCGCCTGAGCGGCGTTAAACCTCCGACCTGTTTGATTTGCCGCACCAAGGCTGCGGTTGACAGCGTCGAACCACAGCCCTGTTGTGGACAGCTCTCAAGAAAGTCAGTCGCTGCCTGATCTGACCATGGGCGAAATTGTCCGTGTTTTGCCATGGTCAAAAACTCTCCCCCCCGCCAACAATGAATTCCACAAGCCTTTGCCCAAGGGGCTAGAAGACGACAAACCGGCAATGGCCGAGTCTCATTTCCGTTTCCCCCTCTTCACCGGGTACGTACTGAGCAGATTAAATAATCGGGATTGCCCTTGCATGGACACCGCTACTCTGGTTCAGCTACAAAACTTACATAAAGTTGGTGACACTTTGCGCAGTACAGCAACGCACTGTTGTTTGCCTCTTGAACAGGAGCGTATCAATGTAGGTCGGTTATTATGAAGTAAGTGCACGAGCACGGTTACCGGCCAACTCCAAGTGCTGCCGAATTGCCTCATACCAACGGTAGCTAGTCAATAGTAGAACATGTCGCATGTGGGGACCAAATCGCGATCAGCGCGCCACGTTCAACGTCGGAAAGGCTTGAGCTTGAGAGATTGCCAGGTGTGGTTCAGGGCTTGATCGACCTGACGCCCCAGTGAGGCTGATAGTCTATCAGCTAGTGGTGTGGATCAGTCGTATAAGAGTGGGACGGTCTGCCTTTAACCTCGAGGTGGTGTTGGTATACATATGGCCTCATATCTGTCAATACCACCAACTCTAACTAGAGCAATTGGCGCGCGATTGAATATCTGTCAGTGCTGTCTCCCTTGGACAAAGCACAAGATTGCATTGATTTTCGCCTCTAGCTTATCCTGATACATATGTCTGACATAAGACAAGCAGGCAGACAGACAAGACAGACAGACAGACACACTTGCTACTAAAAGAGCCAGGCACTGCAGATGCCAGTGCCTAAAAGTAAGGACATTATGACAGGCCCGTCTCTTGATCGTTTGGGCGCTGTCCGCCTGACCGATATTGGGCCCAAGGGGGCCGTGCAGAGACGGCCAGTTCTGTCTGTACGGAGTTCGCAGCGTTCCCACAAGCCTTCTGAGATCACACGCCTACCCATATCCGACGTTCCAAGGTAGCACCACCCCCCTCTTAACTCGCCACCCAACGTTGGAATGACCTGTCACTGCAAGGCTATCGTTCAAGAGTCGCTGGTAGTACATGCCGACTGGCAGGTACTATTGGGACGGATGCTTTCCTCGGGTTTCACAGCGTGGTGATGCTCCAAGAGTGTGAAACAAACTCCCTGCGCTCTAGAAGGGTGAAAGGGGAGGAATCGAAAAAAGCACCCCCTTTTGCAGATATATACTTGGGTACTACGAGCCTACAGTGGGTTGGAAATAAGTGACCTACCGTTAACGGATCGATACGAACCTGATCCATACAACATGATGACTACATTCAGTAATAATCGAAGATGGCCTAGGAGAAATCAGCAAAGCAGACTACCAAGGCGAAACTGATGCTAGTGCGACTCAATGCTTACAGATACGGGATCGTCGAGACTGAGTTTGACAAGCCATGGGAGGACTCCGAAGCTAGTTACTGAACTACATAACATACCACTCTCACTGCCAAGCCTTGCCAGGTTAGGCTATGATATATTCCATCGGAGACCGAAATTTAAGTCACCCAAGGCTATCGATTGTGGTACCTAGATAGACGATAAAGCTATTGGTATCAATCCAGACACGTCTGACACTACCATAGTATTAGGTAACGGAAAGGATAGCTTATATTGGCAGTGGTATGCTTCTTTCTATGAGCATCAACATCTGAGATAGGTCCACCGGGTAATGGTCTATCTGTTGTGCTGACTTATTGGTTTTCATTACCAAGGAGGAGAAGTGGAATAGGTTTCACGTATCTATAGGACTAGTGGAGAACTACTATTACCGATGCCCCCTTCGTCAAAGGCAGTGGTACAAGAGGGAAATCAAAACACAGCCATGATGAATGGCTGGTAAATCATGTTTGAAACATGGCCCTCAGACTTCTGTATTGAAGCACCAGCATGCACTTCTGCATTGGAACAACATTTTATGAAATTTGTTTGCTAATTTCCCACTAGCTACAGATGCATGTCCTTCTACGAGCAATGGCCCCTGCCATAACATGCAGGGTCGTGTTGCAAATTCATAAGACAAGCAGCTGGACGCGCGAGAGAGAGACAGAGAGAGAGACAGAGACAGAGACAGAGACCGACCAACGGCCAACACGCATGCATACGTAGTATCCACACCGGCACGAGCAGAGAAAGCAAAACCCGGTTGATAGGCAGTGTATGGAGTCTCTTAGTATCAGTAGTAGTCTAGTGTCTAAGAGGCAATTGCTAGACCCTGGCTGGCCTAAAGATAGTTTATTTCTTAAAGTGATGGCTAGTTCGCTACCTCACTAGGGCCTCCTTTCTCCTACCGTGGCTTGCAGTCAGGCAAGCTCAATGGCCAGATCCTTTTCCACGATCCAAAATCCATGAAAACAACGCCTCCCTGGTCCTTTGCTAGTGGTTGCCTTTTCCTATGCGGCCCATGCACGTTGCCGGGGAAGAAAAACCCTGGCTTGGCGGTCCCCATCCCATGTCCTTGATCGGGCAATCGGTCCAGGGCTGGATGGAGGCCCTGCGATGCATCTCGCCGTCTTGGATCTCATCCCCCTCTGTCCTTTTGGCCTTGGGAGATTCTTTTCCTTTCCCCCTTTCCCTCCCACGTATCCAATGGCTTGCTTGCTATTCTTGTAAACCACATCTACTGAGCCATAGTGAACTCATCATTTTTTTTTCTCCAGATTCTCTCCCACCAGGCCTTCTTTTCCCCTCAGTCGCAAGGCCATATCCTCCACTAGATATCCATTTCATATCCCATCATCCAGAAAGCTTTCATTCACTTGTTCATATGATATGCTTACAGTTCTATATCAATATAAGAAAAAAAAAACAATGCCACTCTCCCAGCCCCTCCAGATCATACTGAAAGACCAACCTCGACCCGCCGCTGGATTGAGCTGTGGTGATCCAGCTCATCCACGCAACTGCCAAGTCAACTCCACACAATCTGCCAACTCCCGTCACGCCAAGCGGGTGCCCTCGCAAGCGCAGTATCCCTGACGGGTTAGTTAGCCACTAGTCAGTACCACTGCAACTGATAGGGCCCCCCAAACAATCTTCGTCCGAATTGAGAGGGTCGCGTTCCTCGCTAGTGTTCCGAGGGTTCCAGCGCATCAAGCAGAGCCAGCTCATGCACGAAGGTTTAAATACCCGTGCAGCACACGGAGTGGAAGGTTCTGCAGAGAAGCTGCCAGTCTCTGATATGGCCTCATGAGACCACTCGCATTCCCAGATTAAACCTTCAGGTAATACATCTGAGCCCGTTGTTCCGCGATGTTGATAAGCGTGATTCTGGGCTCCGGAATAGTAGGGTTGGTGGGGGGAGACAATGTCGGCCTCTGCACCATCGTTGGTGATGGGCCAGATTGCATCGAAATCTAATGTGGGATCTGTTTAGTTGAATAATGCGATTGATTGATAGAGAGAGAGAGTGTGTGTGTGTGATGGTGAGTGGTGTGTCCTACCTTGCCCACCATTGGTCTTGTCATTACTTAATCCCAGAAGTTCAATGCGACCAAGACAACTCGGATATTTTCCTCTGCATCAGACTGCTCATGTTCATACTAAACAGCCCTCTGCATCGGTATACCCGCCATCCCGAACATCATGAAAGCCCAATAGGAACGAGATGTTTGGAGTAAAGTAATGCCTATTCATGCAAAATCCAATCTACTCTACGAGCTGACCTGTGTGACATAATGCAAAGAATGCAAAGACAATCTTAGTTACAAATAGTAAATAACCAATGAATAAACAACACTCGACTTCAGACCACGAAGACATTGCCTCTCCCCGTTCTTCAACCCAGCGATTCCTCTCTTCCAATACTTAATAAGAAAACAGCTCCCCAACGAAAAGAATGCCCACACTCTCTTATTTGTGTCTATCTATAGCATCTCTTTTTCATACAAGCCAATACCACCGAACAAGAAAAAAAAGGCCAATGAACTGAAATACTGATACTAAACTCCCAAAACGGAAGGAAACATACACTTTCCCGTCCTTCCAACCACGGTAACAGCCGAGAGCCGGAATACCAACAACGCCTTTTCGATCTATCCGACTTATTAGTAAGTAAGTACTTTTGAAGTAATACAAAGTACTATACTCTCGAAGAGATAGGCTGTTATTCTCCCGATCTCGATCGCCGGCCACCATGATTGGTCGATCTCTACAACCACAATACAACTACAACCATAGCCACCACCGGCGTCCTCCCACGCGTCGAGTCAATAATCCGGTTTCGTGGAGGAAAGATGTTCTACTCTTCAAGCTTCTTCCCGGTTTTGCTGCAGATTCGCCTGGTCGAGGCGTGGGATACAAGGTCCTGTGCGGTCGTGCATATAGATACTTGGTGATGTAGGGATGAGAGCTCGACTGTGGCGCATCACTACACTATTTAGTTAGTAACCAGGTAGTTGTACTGTCGTGAAACAGCATGAATGATGCATACCGACTTACTAAACCCATTTTCATTCGGGGATCTGGACATGAGCTGTAATTCTAATGTACTGGAAACATTCCGATTTACTCCCATACTGAAACTCCGGAATCATGCTAAGCCAGCCACATACTCTCTCTCTCCCTCTCTCCCATTCAGGCCAAGATGGTAAGTAGCAGCTAACCAGTGATATGTATCGATACATGGAGGGTGTCCATAGCACTGCATCTGTCAAGAAAGAAAAATCCGCACCTGTGTCCCCAAGTCAGTGTGAGCGATGGTCAATGATCCAGGGAAGTCTCCAACATCGGCCTTTACCTTTTGCTTCACAGGCGCTCGGCATATCACACACGGGGGCTGACCCCCAAGCAAGCCTCGTTCCAGAATGCTGTTGGGGATCTGAATCTCGGCGCACCACCGACAGAGGACAGCATGGCCGCAAGGAAGCAGTACCGTATCAACGAGTTGGGTGAAGCAAACCTTGCATTCGAGCGACACTCGCATTTCATGCGCCTCCTTTGGTTCGGGGCGGCCGTCTTTCGCATTATCAAGACTTGCGGATGGCTTCGTGGGGTGGGTACCGAGCCCCTGGCGCTGACGCTGGCGTTGGCGCTGCAGCTGCATATGAGCCTCCACAATGGCCTGCGCAGCCTGTGGGTTGTAATGATGGCCAAGTAAATGTGCTCGCCGAGCAAGTTCTAGCCGTTGCGGAAGGGGGCGCCCATATCTGGAGTTTCCCGCATTCATCGAGCGTGAAGGCGGCGTGCCAGTTGTCACAAAGTTGGCCGACGATGACTGGGCGGGCGTCGTAACTAGCGGAGTAATATAGGCGCCATCGTCGAATTCTTCAGGATGTGGTGGCAGATGAGAGAATGGACCAGCCGTATGCGAATGTTGTTGAGCTTGCGACTGCTGATAATAACTTGACGACGTTGGCACTGGAGAAGCAGCAGTAGGGGCCGGGTGCTGTGTTCCTTGCTGTGTTCCTTGCTGTGTCCTCGCTGATGGGGGCACGTAACCTCGAGGTCGAAGTGCTGGCGGAACTACTGCAGTGGATGAGGTCAAATCGGGGGTATTCGGTGAACCGTCGCCCGGTGAAACGCCAGACACTGATCCCGGCATCGTCCTGGACATTGTCGGCTGGGTGTTGCTTGAGCGCGGGTCCCGCTGGGGGTAGGCAGGAAGGCCGCTGTGTTGGTTCTGTGAAAGTGAGAGTGTTCGTGCATGAGGGTACGCGAATGAGCGACCTCGACCTCCACCAGGAATGTAATCCAGTTGATGACCGATATTGCTCGGTTCCCCATAGTACTGGTTCGGTGTGTAGCGGGGCATGGTGATGATGCCATTGCTCAAGTATGAAAAATTGGACCTCGGTGGTGGTTGCTGTGAAGGGAAAGAATCTGTCTGGCTCGATATAGCATTGGATGAGAAGGCGTTTGGAGCCCCAGACAGACTCGCGACTGTAGGGACTGGGAAGCATTCCGTTATTTCACTAGCAGACATCACCGGCATCGTTGCACTGACCTTCTTGTTGGTATGTCGGACGCGGCACGTCAGAAATCGTGGTGTCCATTACGTCTTGGGTGTTAGACTGGGCCAACGTAGCGGAAGTTGGGGTGATTTGATAGTTGTTATTGTTGGGAATCGCCGCGGGAAGCCCTTCAAAAGCAGGGCGACTCGCAGAGTCCATGAGTGGTGGCAACCCTGCCGCAGGCGTAGTGGTAGAGCTCCCTGAACGTGGTACGCTAATGGCGCATCAGCTAGTAGCTACACGCTTCTAGCTTCTATTAAGCGAGAGTCGAATTCTCACAAATAAGAGGCTATCAACATGTACCGATGAAGTCGCAATCGACAGCATACAGGGAGGTTTAAGAGCTGTGACAAACAGATGGAGCGTAAATGGAGATAGTATACTAAGGTGGTGATGTGTAGAAGCGGTTCGCTTCACTAGAGCAGAGTAACTAGGAATAGTGAGTGGTCATTCCAGTGGAATTTCTGGCAGTGGACCACAATTCAGCAGTGAAGACAGGCAATCGGATTATGCCTCCTTCCGCTGCACCAGACGATGTATCCAAAGCTCTATCACGTTCACGGTGACTGGGAAATTCTTGCCACTTCCTGGAATAAGTATCGGTAACACTCCACACACATATAGACAATCGATAGGACATGCAGGCTTAAGATGTCGAGTGGGATAGCATGCTTGTCAATGCAGACTGAGAAGTGATAGCCGCATAAACATAACTCGCAGCTAAGAGCTTAATTCAGGCAGGGATAGAGAGTGAATGCATACATGCTATTTTCAGTTTTGCCTTCCTGTTGTCCTACTGTCATCGGTCTTCGGTCGGGTTGCTTGGCTGGCTATCGCGAGTATATTATATTCTGGGGGAAAAACATAGAAAACGGTACTTTCCGATGTCGATAGAAGCGCCAGCGTCTCGGCAACAATCCTGCCAACAAGAGGCTGACCCTGGGCCGTTCAATGTTTCGTACAGGCAACCAAAGTCAGATTGTCTTCGAGATCATGATCTGAGCGAGCCAACGATGTAATAAAGACACCGAGCAGGCGTGAGACGGTTATAGGGTGAAATAGAATTCCAAAACAGGAAATCCAAATGGCAGCTGAAGCTTATCGCCGATGGTTTCCCGGTCTCTCCTAGTTAGACCAACTCGCAGCAGAGCCTGAATTCTGGGTACTTGGTTTCCCAGTGGAATTGGGACCAAAACCTCATCGAAACGCAAAAGGTTTGAAGGAAGTAAAAACCAAATCTCGAACCACTGGAAGGCGAAGCGCACAGGCAATATGGAAGCTTTCTGGAACGACTACAACAATGGACACGAAGGGGTAGAATGAATCAGGGAGAGGTCGCAAACAGGCTGACGACGAGCAGTGGCACCTCGGGGACCAGATCAGATCACTGATCCAATCGGGCTGGAAGGCTAGCTGCAGGGTAGATGGGAGGAAGGGAGGGGTCAGGGTAGTAAAAGGAGAAGTGTGAGATAGATGCGGAGGGATGAGGCTGCTGCAAGATGGAGGACAAGCTTCCGAGAGTCTCACAGACCATAATAGAGGGACAGATAGAGAGAAAGAGAGTAGAGGAGAGGGAAAGAGGGAAAGAGAGAGAGAAAGAAAGGAAAGAAGAAGAGAGGGAAAGAGAGAGAGAGAGAGGGTTTGGATTGGAGGGTGTCAGTGAGTGGTGAAGACAGTGTCACCGTCGGACCCCGCAAGACACGGCGATCCGCTGGATCCATTCCTGGAAGCAATCAGAAACATGAGGTCAAGTGATGAATATTGGGGGGGGGGGAAAAGAAAGCTAGTTGGTTGGTTGGTTGGCTGATTGATTGATCGGTATGTCGTAAGAGATGATTTGTATTAAAGAAAGATACTATGTCTTGGGTTGTTGATCTATCAGCCAGTCAAAGAAGATATTCGGACTTGACTTCGACGAAACAAGAGGCTGCTCCGGCGTTCAGTCCCCGGCTCTTCCTTTGTTTGACCATCCATCGTCGGAGGTATTATCCCTTCAGAGCTGGTTGAATCGATCAATCGATCAATCGATCCATCCATCCACTCATCCTTGTCTTGGGAGGATCGGAGGAGCCACCGCGTCTAGACTCTGACCCGAAACGAGCAGATCTTCCTCCAGTTCTTGTGTCGGACGGTGCGGAAACAGCTGCGAGCCGACGACGTCATGCTCTCCGTCTCTCCCCTGAACACTTAAACACTTTCCACCCCTTCATGTTCCCTTCAATCCATCCCGATAACCTCAATAGCTCTTCCGACCACGGTACTACCTCTGGAAGACCCTGAATATCAGGCTCACGTGTACATCGCCGGTCCTTACCTGACTTTCAACGCTCTCTGCTTAACGTTAAGCGCCGTCCCTCTTCCTCCGCCCGTTCCACACCTCGGCTCGGTTCATGACGCCCGCCCGGTGGCTACTATCGGCGTCTGTGCGACATACGCGACCAGCTCTCTCCTCCGCTCTGCCTTCGATCGTCACAATGGCCTTCTCCACCTTTACTATCCCTCGCTATCTGGACCACAATGGCTCGGCCACGCTACCCGTCTCCTGTCCAGCAGAGCTGTCTCGTGAAGATCTGCTGCGGTTCCCAGCTTTCCGCATCTGGCTCACCACTCTGCAACACTCCTTGAGTCGCCAGCAACATCCCTCCCACGAGTTCTCCAAAGACCCCTACATCCTGCGGAAAATAGATATTCAGAGTGTGGATCGCTTCGGTGGTGGTCGTCTAGGCTTCTTGAAGTTCAAAGCGGAGGTGTCCAACGAGAATGGAGAGACGCTCCCGGGAAGCGTGTTCTTGCGTGGTGGCAGCGTAGGCATGCTGGTAAGCGAGCTACCTCTATGTATCGCCTACTGATAACGTCGAGATATGGTGCTGACACTACTTCTCTCTCCCCCCCGCTCAGCTCATACTTCAGCCAGACGATGTGCCTCCATCGGCGGAAGACGAGAAGCGTGCCATTTTAACCATCCAGCCTCGTGTCCCTGCGGGTTCTCTTGCGTTTTCCGAAATTCCAGCCGGCATGCTTGATGACAGTGGATCGTTCGCTGGTGGTGCAGCAAAGGAGATCCAAGAGGAGACAGGCTTGACAATACCACAGGAGGAGCTAATTGACATGACATCGCTGGCTCTGTCGTCGGTGCCAGAAGAGGGAGAGACGTTGCAAAAGGCAGTGTACCCTTCGGCCGGTGGGAGCGACGAGTTTATTCCCTTGTTCTTGTGTCAGAAACGGATGCCGCGCAAGGAAATCGACAGCCTGCAGGGACGATTGACTGGGTTACGACAGCATGGTGAGAAGATCACGCTGAAGGTAGTACCGTTGCGCGATCTATGGAAAGAGGGTCTGCGGGATGGCAAGACCCTTGCCGCGTGGGCGCTATATAGAGGCCTCAAGGAGGAGGGGCTGCTGTAGGCAGAATTCCACACTCCACAGCAGTCTGTGGGATCTAATACTGGAAGCACGCAGTGACACTCACACCAATGTGAATATATCGCATTCGACAGTGTATCGACTCTAACGGCAATGTCGTCAGAATACCACAAATGTGCAAATCCATGGTACAGGATGAAGACGGAGCCAAGGCTGAAACATCTACATACAGCTTAAAGCTTGAATCTCTTCGCAAGTTCGATTCCCTCAGCTATTGTGCCCACCCGAGCATCAATAGCGTATCCCTCCCGCTCGAGCTTCTTCATTTCCTCGAACAACGAAGACAGAGGCACAGTGAAGCACTCGATGAACTCATTGTCTTCAAGCTGGGCCTTCGGGTTCTGGTTCTCTGGCAACGACATATCCACCCGGACATGCACCATATTGAGGTTGGTATTGCAGAACCCAGGGTCTGTAGACACCCGTCAGCCTAGTCAATCGATACCCCAAACCATCCGAGTCGAAGCCATGCTCAACGAGTACTGTAGTCTCGTCTGGTCTAGAAGAGAAAAGAAAAGAAAGTAAAACTCACCATTATACATAACACTACTAGTCTGCTCCGCCACGCCAACGTAACCCGTCTCCTCCTTGAGCTCACGCACAGCGCACTCCTCCACCGTCTCATTGGGATCAATCAGCCCAGCAGGCACCTCAATGACCACCTTATCGATAGGCGGGCGGTACTGCTTCTGCAGGAGAAGCTCTGGCCCGGTTTCTTTGTTGAGGATTGTCACGATTCCAACGCCGTCAATCTCGCAGTTTGCGGGGCGTGTCTTGGAGGCAATTAGCATGCAAGCAAGTAGATATATTGCTTCTCAATGCGGAACTATCACCTCACACCCGCAACACCCCAAAAAAGAAGAAGAAACTCAGTTGAATAACACCAGTAAAAATGCTAACGAAAGAACTAAGGAAGAAAGTGGGAGGGGTAAATAGTCGCACCTGACGCTCCGCAGACTCCCACGTCCTCTCAACACCATTGGGGTCCGTATACGATGACATGACCAATCGAGTCCATTTGGCTTCCTTGGGGTCCTAGCAGGGAGTATTGTATATCAGTGATGATTCGTTCAGCGTGTAGCAGTTATCCAGATTATAACACCATATATACATACCAGAGGACCCCTCGAAAGCAACTTCGACCCGGCGTATTTAGGATCGGACATTGTTCCGTGTTTTTGCACCTGAGAAGGGAAAGGAGATAATCTTTGGTATAACGATATTAGATGGAACAGTCTATGTCTAATTAGAAAATTGAAGAGGGTTAGTTAAAAGATCAACTCTAGAGGGAGGTAGAGAGTAAACAACTCGACTCGGGCGTCTGACGTAGCAGGAGGGGAAAGCTGGAGTGGGGGTCACCAACCGTATCGGGTTAGAGGGCTAGCCCTTATCTTATCGTGTTGGGGTCCTGAATCGAGAGGTTAGTTTGTGTAGATTAACTATGTTGAAGACAGGTGGGATGGGTCAGGAGGTCATTACTAATATGGGCAAATAGAAGGTGTAAAGGTGTGACTGTAGTGTCAGGTCTGTTGTGGTGGTGGTTGATGTTGTATGAGGATCATCGACGCTGAACATAACCTCTGGTTGCTACATTAAATCCTAGTATAGTAGCAGGGTTGGACCACCATATAAGCACCAATACACGAAAACGTACTACATCTTATGGAAGGCAAAACATATTTGGTCCAAAAATTCTGCATTGGAAAAGCTTGCCATCAGAGATAAACTAACCTCTAGTTCTATATTGGACCATCCGTCACGCACCCATGGCTCGCATCGCTCACCAGCTTCGCATACTTGCTTAATGTCCCCTTCTTCGCCCGAGGTGCCGGTGCTGTCCAAGACACTCTTCTCTTTGCCATTTCTTCTGGGGTGATCAGCAGGTCAACCACTCTTTGCTCCGCATCAATTACGATTCGATCGCCATCCTTCACCAGGGCAATGGGCCCGCCCTCCATAGCCTCAGGCACAACATGCCCAATTAAAAAGCCATGACTACCTCCAGAGAATCTTCCATCAGTGAGTAGCGCAACATCCTGACCCAATCCCGCGCCCATGACAGCTGAGCTGGGCTTGAGCATCTCAGGCATCCCGGGGCCGCCTTTGGGCCCTTCATATCGAATAATAACGACCGTTTTCTCGCCCTTCTTGATCTCGCCTCGTTCGAGAGCCTCAATGAAAGCGTCCTCAAAGTCGTAACATTTAGCAAAACCTTCGAACCGTAGACCTTCTTTGCCGGTGATTTTTCCAACCGAGCCGCCGGGGGCCAATGACCCACGAAGGATCTGCAAGTGGCCGGTTGGCTTGATGGGATTGCTTAGAGGGCGGATGATGGGCTGCTCAGGTGAAAATTCGGGCCATGAGGCTATATTCTCTTTCATGGTTTTGCCAGTGACAGTGACGCCGGAGCCGTCAATAAGGCCTTCCTTGAGCAGGAACTTCAGCAGTGCAGGCGTGCCCCCGACTTTGTACAGGTCATGCATGACATACTTGCCGGAAGGCTTTAGATCAGCTAAGAAAGGTGTCTTGTCTGACACAGCCTGGAAGTCATCGATGGTCAATTTGATCCCAACGGAATCAGCGATAGCAATCAAGTGCAGTACTGCATTGGTGCTGCCTCCAAGAATATTCACAACAATCATAGCATTTTCAAATGCCTGCCGTGTCATGACGTCCTTGGGACGGATGTCCTCCTTCAGCAGATTCTTCACCGTCTGACCGATGTCCTCACACTCTGCCAGCTTCCTCGGATCCTCTGCCGGTGTACTGCTGCTTCCAGGAACCGTCATTCCGAGGGTCTCGATGGCCGTTGCCAGTGTATTAGCCGTATACATACCCCCACAGGCACCAGCACCTGGGCAAGCGTGTCGGATGATATCAAATCGTTCCTTCTCGTCGATCTCACCAGTGAGATATTGGCCATACGATTGAAAGGCGCTGACCAAGTCAAGTGGCTTACCCCCCGCACTGCAGCCGGGCTTGATACTACCACCATACACCATGATACTCGGACGGTTGACCCGACCCATAGCCATCAGCACACCTGGCATGTTCTTATCACAGCCAGGCAACGAGATATTAGCATCATACCACTGGGCGTTCATGACCGTTTCAATTCCATCAGCAATGATCTCTCGGCTCTGTAAACTGAATCGCATGCCAGATGTGCCCATACTAATGCCATCAGAGGCGCCGATGGAGTTGAAGCGCATGGGAACCAGGCCAGCTCTGGCTACCGACTCGCGAACCAGTGACGACAAATCCATCAAGTGCATGTTACAAGGATTCCCTTCGAACCACACTGATGAAATTCCAACCTGTGCCTTGGACATGTCTTTCTCCGTCAAGCCGGTCGCGTAAAGCATCGCTTGAGATGCACCCTGGGACTTGGGTTGTGTGATCTTAGAGGAGACTTTGTTCAGTGTTTCGTCGGCATAACGATGTGCAGTTGAGGAGAGAAGACGACTATATTGACACGTTTAGATTTACCATTAGCATCATGGGAGTTTGTATCAACTGTAGGGTATACGAACGAGGATGACTTTTTGGGCGATAGTATCCGTCCACCGAATGCCAGAGTTCTGGCAGCTCGGAACGGAGTGGTAGGTGTGATCATGATTTTTTGGCCTGGAGGCCACCGCAGAAAAGGCATTGTACTTGCTCTTTAGGAAGTAAGAGTGAGTCAAACGAGACTGCAGGCCAGGTTATATAGGCTCAAGGGCCTTCTTAATACCTGGCCGAGAGTGGCCACAGTCCATGTGGGTCATTATACCCCTACAGTGTCTGGGATACTGACCATTACTTGCTCAAACCCTGTCAGCAGGTGGCACAGACTATTAAGAACAGCAGGTATTCGAGTAAACATAATTACTGGATGGAGAAGGACAGGGATTAATCTTGCTCTACTCCGCAACGGTCGAGGGATCGAATGGTTGCATGGACGCATATCCAACCAGGACGCAGATAATACAGCCGATTATCCGAGTTAGAGGCATTCACTTATGTATAGCAAGAAATAAGCTGGATATGAGTTCGGGGAGAAGCAATGAAACTGATGGTCGAGGTCAATCTATAGATCCTTTTAAGACGATCCAGGCCCCACCCGGCCGGAGTCGCACCGCAGCTCCCCGGGTAGCTGTTTGCTTGCAATCTTGTCTAGCTGTGTTGCGGAGGTGCTAATAAGCACCAAATCTACACCGAGGATGCTTGAAATAGTGGAAATACACTTTAGTTGAAATAGAGTTACTACTACTGTCCATCTAGCTGAAAACGGCAGAGATGATAGATAAGTTCTATTTTGTTTGTGCAGGCAGTAGTCGCCCGAAGAAGGTACCTAAATCCATGATTACCTCTCTATAAGAGAATTGTGTAATAATGCAAATATCCCGGTCATGAAGCGAATTATGCAGATGAGACAATAAGTCGCACGGTTGTCAAGACGACGGTCCCAGGTGATTGTTTTCTGCACAATGGACTAAGGGAACTACTCTGACCGAGGAAAGGACCAGAGGATCAGACTAAACAGCGTCTGAGATGTCACAACGTAAAATGAAGAAAGTGACCTTAACCCCAGAACGGCCCGCGCGCTTGCTATCGTGACTTCGTGTTCATAATCGTAACTGGCGTACAGAATGGCCCCACCTGCCATAGGTTCAGGCCGCCTCGATTTCAGAGAGACATTTCTGGAATTCACTCCAATCCTTCATGATAACCTTGGCACCGAGCTCTTGCAGAAGTTGTGACATTTCCAACTGCTTAGCGTCACCGTGATAGCTTCCGACATAACCAATGACTGGGATTCCAGCACGGATGGCACTGAGCGCACCAGACTTGCTGTCCTCGACAGCGACCACTTCTTCGGGCTTCTTCGTGCGCACTTCGAGGGCATGAATGTAGATAGCCGGATCCGGCTTCGAAGTTGGCTTGGGAAGAGAGGTGGCTGCGCTGAAAATGGCATCTTTGTCAAAATACTTGTCTTGTCCGACCTTTGTAATTGAAGCACGGACACGGCGCAAAGCAGACGAAGAGACCACCGCTAGGCCATACTTCTTGGATTCGAGAAGCTTGTCGAGCTCAGCGTTAACACCAACGCATGGCTGAGCTTTGTCAGTCAGCTTGGCAATGACTTTGTCCTCCTCCTTCTTCACGTATTCCTCGAGTTCCTCTTGTGACATCTCGAAGTTGTACTTGGCCTGGAGGGAGACCATCATTCCCCGAAAGTTCTGACCAACGAAATCTTGGATAAGCTGCTCTCCCGTGTAACGGTCTGAGATATTCTTCTTCTCCAATATCTCATTGGCAAGATCCGCACACGCCTCGAAGGCCAGCTCCTCCGAGAGGACGAGGGTGTTGTCGCAGTCGAAGAAGATCTCGGTAATCTGCGATTAAGGTTCGTAAGTATATTGAATCCATACCAACGTTGCATGAAGGATGGATAGCTTACCTGCGGCATGATGGATGTATGTCTAGTAGATCTTTTCTTAATCGAGATCAAGAATGTAGCACAGCAATGACAGTAGAGAAACGTCTATGGAACGTAGTGAAATAGAGAGTTGGGGGTGGGGAACGATGTAAGGAGGAAGAGGATGACAGGAAAGGAAGACTGTTTGTCTTTCTATTTCGAGGAGGGATGACGGAAAGAGATGAATGGTTTGTGGGTTATCTGTGAAAAGTTACAGAAGAAGAGGGGCAAACACGAGGGCATTCACTTTGTTTAAGTAGTACCGGAAGGGACCAATACAAAGGAAGCCAGCGGGTGAAAGGGGGGCCCCTAAAGAGTAGTATCTAATTGAAGGGGACCCAGCCACGGAATGAGTACGCTTGAACCCACTGCCCGTGATAGAGATCCAGAAATCCCCGAGGGGAATTCCCAATTCCTGTTGTACACAGTTACCGGTATCCAAGGTAGGAGCGGGGTGCCGGCCCTGGACTTCCCTGAGATCATACATTTGAAAAACACCCATGACGTTATCAACAGGCCAAATTCCAGTGCTAGTGAAAGATGCTAAACCGATTCAGGCAAGCACCCGCTGCCATGCGCTGTTCCAATCGCGCTCGGATGCCCCTCTTCCTTTCCCCTTGAGGCATAGCGGTATCACCTGATGGAAAGGCACCGAATCCTCGCTGCCCATTCTTCCAGTCGCCTTCAATTTCCGGTTCCTTTCCTTTCCTTTCGTCGACGCCTCAAAAGCCCAATGATGAAGCGCATAGCCAATCGATAGGATTCCATGGCATGTTTATCGATATCCCCTGTGCTGGGGGCGCCATAGTGCAGATGTGGGACCGTTTGTTCCTCTACTTTCTTTGCTATTCACAATGATTCTATTCCCTGTCACGTAAGGCAAGATGTATCGACAAGAGTGAGAGAATTCTGTACTCCATACTGTTTGTTACCAAGCTCATGTATCCTGCTAGGTAACCTTCAGTCAGTCACCAGGTGTGCTCATGCGAGGGGGGTATAATCGGTCACAGCCACCATTAAAATAATGCCTGGAAATTCTTGTCCGTCTACTTTGTACATCCCCCGGAGCACAGTATTCCATTTAGCTGCCGCTAGGTCAATCCGTTTACTGCCTGAATTGAGCAATAGTACGTCGCCAAGGATCGGACCATAGTTCACCAAATCAGCGCTGAATACTCTCTGTACGCCAGAGCATTACCCGGATACCCTCGATAATACTAAGCTGTAGTATAGTAGAGACGCCATGCGATCGGATGAAACCGTGCCATTAGGGATTTTCGTATACTGAATGCAACTCCTTAAGCCAGTTGTTGCGAAAACGGGACAGGAGTACAATACTCGAGGGGTGCTCAGGCTTCATCCGTCATGAGTAAGAATATGACTGCAACAGGTATTAGTTACAAAGCGTCCGAGATTATAGCCGACAGACCGACTACCTACTTCCCTACTACCACAGGTTCCTGGATACATCCTTCTAAGCATGTCAGTAAGTAGTCCCCCTGTAGGTACCATCGATGGCTGTGCTCCACCCCGCGTGAGGATGGCGTTCGACTTGTCGGCGCCGGCCTTAAATGTGGGCCGATCGTTGGCCGGCGAGGAAATTCTAATGGCGCTTGCATTAGAGCCCCTCATTATCATTATTATTATCGATCGCATTTGATCCCAGTATTCTCATTACTACTAGGGACGTCAAAGCCTAGTGTGATATTGTTTCCTGCTCCCCGAAGCATACTGTAACCTGTTTTTGAGTCTCCGATCCCACTGCGAATACCACCCGACCGCTGGCCCTCAAGCCAATACGAAGCACTCCGGGCAACATGGGATCTGCTTCTGCTTCCGATCCCTACCCCGTGTCTGTTTCGTCCCTTCACTTCCCCTCAGCAGAGCAGCAATCGATTTCCCAAACGCTATCTGCATTGCGACGATCAGCGCTCTCCGTCACCAACCGACTGCGTTCCATCGAGGCCGACGCGGCCTTTGTCCGTGAGGTTGCAGCCCATTACGATCTTCCTCTCATCGCCAACGAAAGATGCGGGAGCTGGTATATCCCGCCTGAAGTAAAGTCGGGCAGTGCGTACTTCAAGAGTACAGATGGTCACACGGGCCAGTGGGATTTCAGCTTTCGCAGACTAAATTTGCAGCTTCTACCAATTGCCAGAGAACATGGGGGGTCAGTGAGCCTGTCACCCTTTTTTTTTTTTTTTTTTTTTTTCCCTTCTCTCTCTTTTGTCATCCCTGCTGATCGTTCTATTTCGGGCTAACTGAATGGCTGACCTTATTCGTTGAATACAGTTGCATTATCGTGGATTCCACGCGCCGGGGTAAATGTAAGTAATCAGCTAACCCCTCAAAGCATGCCATTCGTGCACTGTTTAACGAGGTATGCGCCAGTGATGCCTGATGCCCTGTCTAAAACCGTTCCAATCTGGTGTGCCGTCATCAACCGGGCGCTGTTTCCGTCTGACACTGCATATCACGCGGTGAATTTTCCGCCAAATTATCTGGGCGCTTCTGAAGAGTCCCAGATTGAGCGGAGGATTGACGGCTTCGTCAAATCCCTCGAGGTAACTCTCGCTCTGCTCTGAATGTGTCCTATAACTTCCATGTAGGCTGATAGGCTTCCAGAACCTGAAACTCGATCTGGATGAACTCAAGCAGCAGCTTGGAAAGCCTATTCGGGTGGCATGGGCCAACCGCGCCTACTTCCATCCGACAGATCTGCATAAAGGGAATGACTATCGCCTGTTTGTTCTCTGTTCCGCATCTAAAAGAGTCCATGGCGCAGAAATGTCCGAAGGCGGCTATATCCAAGGAGCAGGAGATGACAGCGAGAGTTGGGCCTATGGGTTAACTCCTCCTGTCTTTTGGGCTTCTAAAGCGACCCTGTTCCAGTACTCAGAAGAAGATCTCCCAACCGTAATTGAGCAGCTGGTTGAAGACCACAGCAAAAAGAACGTTGATCAAAGAGCGATACGTGTTGCGCCAACACGAAACTTATATATCAGCCAAACACACCCACAACTAAACAATGGCAGCATGTTCAATCTGGTTATAGATTGTAATGCGAGCCCAGAAGGGGCGGAAGATAACGCAAATCGCCTGAATCTCGGTTGCGGATCTTCTAAGCTTGGAAGCCGTGACCTGCGCAAACACCTGGACAAGGTCCAAGACTTTGTAAAGTCCCGTCTGAGCTCAGACCCATCACAATCATTGCTGGTGGCATGTGAGACTGGCAAGGATCTTTCGGTCGGTGCTCTACTTGCGATATTGTGTCTGTTCTATAATGAGGAAGGCAAGTCTCTCATCGATCTGTCAACCCATCGTGTGTCTCTTGTTGGGCGTCTTTTTAGTACTAATAATACTTCAGGCGAATTCGATGCTATTCCCACCAACCAACTGATCGGCAAGCAGTTCATTCGTCAGCGGCTTGCCTGGATCACATCCTCCAAACATGATGTGAATCCCTCGCGGTCTACGCTTCAATCGGTCAATGCCTTCCTCATGCAACGCCCAGATTACTAATACCTAGAAGATATAAACCTGAAAATCACAATTAATTATCTTTATAAATGGACGAACTACTCGTTCTCGACGGCCTCGACAATAGCGCCACTGCTTCCCTGGTCAAGAGCATTAAGCACGGCCATGTCCTCCTCGCTGATGTCGAAATCAAATACATCAGCGTTAGCCGCAATCCGGTCTGGATTGTCGGTTTTAGGAAGTGGAACCCATTCCTTCTGCAGCGCGTAGCGTATCAGGACCTGCTGGGTCGTCTTGTTGTATTTCTTTGCCAAGTCCACGAGGGTAGGGTCGTTTGCTTTATAGTTCCGCACAATGGGGGCATACGACTCGACAACGATTCCGTTCTTCTTGCAGTATGCATCGATCACGCGTTGCTGGCACCAAGGGTGAAGCTATGCGATTCTAAGAGTCAGCCAGATTCCCTTTCCTGTTGCACCGTACGGACTAAACTGAACAAAGGTGGGGAACTAACCTCGATCTGATTAACATGAGGCGGCCAGACTTTCGCATACTCCTTCATCTCTTCAATGTGCTTCGCCCCAAAGTTGCTGACACCAATGCTCTTAGCTTTGCCCTCCTCCAGCAGCCTTTCCAGGGCCTGCCATAAGTGCTTGCGACCCGACGAGCCGGACTTGGAGCTATGGATTAAAAACAGATCAACGTATCCATCCGGGCCACCAATCTTCTCGACGCTAGCCAGCAGTCTCTCATAGGTTGCCTCGGGCGATCCCGCTGGGCTGAGGATTTTGGTGGTCACGAAAATTTCACTGCGGGGCAGGCCCGAGGAACGAATGGCGTCGCCAACTTCTTTCTCATTTGCGTAGAACTGGGCGGTATCAATGTGCCGGTAGCCAACTTCAAGGGCCTTGAGGCAGGACTGCACGCATTGTGCGGAAGGCGACCGATAGACGCCGAAGCCGAGGCGGGGTATTTTGACGGCGGAATTAGGCAGTGGTACCACGTCTGCAAAGGAGTAATTGGCCGGCATGATGAAATTAAAGAGTCAAGAATGGCAAAGCGAACCAAGCTTGGAAATCTGAGAAGTTCGGTATGAAGAGGCGCAAGGTAGTCAGTAGTCACGACGTGGACTTGGAGAATGACTGACAGGGAGAGGGGAAGCCGATTAAGTTGAGCTGAATGTTTCGCGCGCGGGCCCCATCACGCCTCGGCGAATCCGATGATATCATCAGCCCACCTTCTTCCGTTTGTGTCTCCGGCCTCATCTGTTTTGATTTTGATATACTAATATGTACTAGTATGACTGGATTCTGTGATGGATGCAGCATACTTTGATGAGTTGGCAATTACATCAGTTCTCACTATAGCGAGACATTCGGTCTTTGCGCCCCCGCACGGATAAGGAGCTTGTTGTTCAAGCTGGAAGATGGCTAAAATTATGGGGCAACTGGTATCCTCGCCCTTGCATCGGGAAAGGTAAAATGCAGGTTTCTACCACGGTACTTTCTCGCGTGTGCCCTCCATGTTTATCCCGGCATTTCGAGACCCGTTTCACTGGGGTTGTCTTCGTGCAACAATACAGCCGGCAAAACATGTGCACCGAATCGTGGATTTGCCTCCGGCAGACGAACTAGACATCCATCCATAGCCCGCAATGATCACGCCTTCAGGTTGGGCGACAACCTGAGAAACTACTAAGTCCTAGTAGTAACCCCTCCTTCCTCT